TAAGTACAGCATAAGATGCACACACACACACACACACACACACACACACACACACACACACACGTACAACAATATCTTTTAACAAAGAAAAAATGGAGACATTTGCACATAGAATAATGAAAACATCTTACTACAGGGATTTAACTCAGAATAACAAGATAAAATGTGTACTGTTATTTTTAAAAAGACTAGGTCTAAGTGTGAGAATTCTGCTGTATATTTGACCAGTTGTCTAGTTTGAACAAGATCCTAAATTAAATCCTTAGTACAGAAACAAAACTAAAAAAGGAAGAAAGGAAGAAAAGGAAAAAAAAGGGATGGAATATAAAAGAAAGGAAAGAGGGAGAGAGGAGGAAAGGAAAGAAGTAAAGGAAGAAGGAAGAGTAGTATGGAGGGAGGGAGAGAGAGAGAAAAAGAAGTAGCTAGGGAAGAAAGAAGTTCTAAACTAAAGATCTTACTTGCTGATTTACAACTTACCATGAGTACACCATACGACCACCAATCAGCACTCTGAGAATGGCCTCGTCTATTCACTACTTCAGGAGCCATATATTCCACAGTACCACAAAATGAGTAGGCCTTCTTTTCTTGATCCACTGACTCTTTGCTAAGCCCAAAATCTGTAAATGGTACCAAAAAAAGTAGCTAAAAATCTCCAGAAATAGGAATACCAAAAAAATAAAATAAAATAAATGTTGACATCTAACGACCAGTTTTACATTCATAGCAGTTTTATTATCCTGGAAATCCTGTGTTCCAGCTATTCATCCTTATGTATTTCCCCCTCCCTCATTTTCTGGAAAACACAGCTCCTTTCTACTTCCCCAAAAGTTCTGCTTCCACAGTGTGCCATCTTGGAATCATGGTGTATGACCTTTTTACAGTGGCTTCTTTCAATATAGCAACAAATGTTTAAGGTTAATCTATGCATTGTAATCATTTCATATTGAACTTATTTTCAAAATTTCATTTCCTTTAAATTTTAATTGACATATACTATATATTGAAGGATATAGTATTAAATTAGAGTGTATATTAAGCAATGATTAAGTTACAGTAATTAGCATTTTCATATTTTAAACATTTTTATGTGTTAGGAATCTTCAAATTCTTTTGTAGCTATTTTGAAATATATACTTAATTGAATGCTATATGACATTAAAATTACTTCCTTCACTCTAAAAAAGTGGAAAATAGAATGAGCTTGTCACCATAAGGATAAAAATAATGAGTTTTACAGTATGTAAATTATTCCTGTCTTCGATCTTTATTAATTTTTATTATTAGTTACATTTTTTATTTTTTATATTAATCACAGATTATTTACTTTGTATCCCAGCTGTAGCCCCCTCCCTCATGCCCTCCCATGCTGTTTTCTAAAATTTAAAAAAAATATAAGCCCAAAATTATGCTCTTCGATTAATTAATTCAGGCTCTTTCAGAACTGATAATCAAACCATGTTCAATATTTTCATTTAGAAAAATTGCTTGTATAATAAGTTTGTGTTGTGTCTTTAGGAATAATTTCAATCTTCATATACTATATCCATTCTCTTAAAACTTTTAAAATATATTAAAAATAAAATATAATAAGACATAGTATTGAAAATTAGGTCAGTTGAATGAATGGTATACAGAAGAAGAAAAAGAAAAAAAAAAACACGGGCATGCCTATAATTACAGCACTTGGAAGGCAAAGACAGAAATACTAAAAGTTCTTGTCTCAACCTATCTATAAAAGAGATAGAATGAGATATATTTGAAGTATTTGAAGGTATGTACTCTCATCCTGATACAATTACTTCAGTTTACAGTTATCAGCTTGATCCTTTATTTTTACATTGATATATCAATACTCGTAATTTGGGGTGACTTTTCTTTAAACTATACCGTTCAAACTTCTCAGTACAAAACACCTGTTCATTAGCTTGGTTATAGCATTCCAAAACTTAAAAATAGAATTTACTCTGTACTGAAAATATTTGGAACTTTTTGAGTTAATATAACCCACTCAATATTATGTCCTTGTCAGCTACTTAAATTATTGAGAAATCAATGGTTCTATCCTTTGATTGCTCAGTATCCCAGCACATGGAAATTACATATAGCTTGTTAATACTCATTAACTTTTTAAAGACATCAAGGTTACTTCCAGTCTATACTAAAACTAAAATCTACTATTTTTAACTAAAACATTTTTTAATTAGTATAGTGCCTCTATTGTAGAATTTTTAAATGCACTCAGAATACACTGAAACTATATAACCATTAAATAACTTTTGTTCCACAAAATACACAAAATGCAACTCAAATGAAGACCAAAAAAAGACTTAGAAAAATATGAACTAGAACAATAAAAAATAAATAATGGGCTCATTAGTATATAAGAAAATTTACATACCTGTTAACTTGATATGTCCTATTTCATCAAGCAAGATGCTGTAAATCAAAATTCATATTAAATATTGTGGAGTTAACTATACAAAATTCATAAATATAAAATTAGTCACTATTTGACACACTGGAAATTTTTTAATTATTAATTTAAAACAAGGGTATTATAAAGATTGTCTGGTACAAATAAATTTTATGTAACTATATCATTCATTCAGGATTTCAAATACTTGAAAAAGCTTAATGATATATGCTTAAAGATAGTTAAGTTAAAGAAATTATAAATATATGTATATATATATATCACATACAAACATACACAATAAGTCAATATAATAAAATCTTCAAAATCAATATAGATAGCTTAGATAAAAATAGAGGATATAACTTTACTTCTCTGGCTTCAGGTCTCGATACACAATTCCTAAACGATGAAGATGATCCAAAGCCAAGGCCAATTCTGCAAGGTAGAATTTCACATCTTCTTCTGTAAAAAGAACCTAAAATAAAATAATTCATCATTTGATCTTTATTCCGTATGATATACTTTCAAATTTCTTTCTTTAAAAAAAAAACAGTAGACAGACAAGTATGGGAAAATAATAATAAAATAGGAATAGTTAAATCTTATATGCTTGACACAAATATTAGCATATCAGAACACTTTTCTAGATAAATGATATTAGTGTCTTAGGACAGGAGCTCCACAAGGAGAGTAATTGAACCAAAATATCTGGGCATAGGAGTCTTTTCTGAGACTGATACTCCAACATAGAACCTCTGTTCAGATGTAAACCATGGCAACTCAGTATCCAAATGGGTTCCCTATTAAGGGATACAGGAACTGTCTCTGACATGAACACAGTGGCTGGCTCTTTGACCACCTGCCCTGAGGGAAGAACAGCCTTGCTAGACCACAAAGGAGGACATTGCAGCCAGTCCTGAAGATACCTGATAAAACAGGGTCAGATGAAAGGGGAGGAGGTCCTCCCCTATCAGTGGACTTGGAAAGGGGCAGGGAGATGAGGGAGGGAGGGTGGGACTGGGGAGGGAATGAGGGATACAGAATTAACAAAATGTAACTAATGAGAAAAATAAAATTAAAAAATATATTAGAAATTTAAATATAATTCTTCCTGAAATGTAGGCTGTTTGTATATCATCACATATTAACTGCACTTCACAGAACTTGGATTTTTAATGACTTTCATAATATCAATAGTAATTCTGGTACACAGCATCTGGGAAATTGAAGTATTAGGGATATTTTGTTTTAACACCCATACTTTCATTATTTCTACTATTCTTTGTTTTACCACCTCCTATCACTTGTCAGTAATTTCATTTTTTAGTTCCCCTAATTCAAAGCTTCTAAGCCTCCACAAATTATTAAATTAATAACCCTTACATCAGAATTACCTAAAAGGGACCCGCCTCGTCTCAACTGTAAGTAAAGTTTATGAATATAATATTACTGGATTTCTCAATCTTTGTGTGTTGGAGAATAAAGATGTTAAGACAAAGTGAAAAGAAAATGAAATTTAAAATCAGAATTAGAGGTTCAGCATCAGACATGTCATTTAATCCTCTGTATCTGAATTTTTGAACCTTTAAAATAAAACTAATTACCTGTTATATTTACCTAAGGACATTGTTCTAAGAGTCACAGTCATTTAAATGGACATAAATGTGCAGCTATATGGAGGTATTAGTACACGTTTATATCTATATTCATTCATAGCTGAGTATTTACTCTATGCACACATTTGCAACTACTCAACCACTATACAATTGAACAAAAAGCCATTTCTAGGAATCTTATGTTTTCATTAAAGAAATTTGGCTTAGTACTGATGAGACCTGATAGGTTAGGGTCAGATAGAAAGGGAGGAGGACCTCCCCTATCAGTGGGCTTCCCATGCCTCTTCCCCAGTCTACTGATGGGGGAGGACCTCCTCTCTTTACATCTGTCCCTAGCCTATCAGGTCTCATCAGGACTGTCTTTCATAGTCTTCCTCTGTGGCCTGGCAAGCTGCTCCCGCCTCAGGGGGAGTTGATCAAAGAGCCAGTATTGAGTTCATGTCAGAGACAGCCTCTGTTTCCCTTACTAGGGAGCCCAATTAGAGACTGAGCTGCCATGGGCTACATCTGTGCAGGGGACTGAAATGAATTTTACAAGTCTATTTCTAAGAAACAAGTAACAGTTCAGTATGGATTACTGAAATTTTTGTTAACAAGTGAAATATAACCAACAGTCAACTAGTTATAATAAGCTGCCTATAGAATTAATCACTGAATCAGTCTTTTAATGTCTATTCTGTGAATAAACTAATTTATTATCTTTTGGAAAATGCACTTAAAATGCTTAGTCTTACCTAATATTTCAGACCTAGAAATCAAAACTTACTGACTGCATCTTTGTGCGAGTATTACTTTAGATAGCCTCACATCGAGAATGGAGGTCTAAAGAGTTTAAAAGAAAATTAGAAATAACTACAATCAGGAATTTTTAAAAAAACATTTGTGTCACTCTATAATCTAACATAAGAAATACTGAATGCTGGAGACTTGATATACCATTGTTCATCTACAAGTTTCTTTAAAGATTTTTTTCTTGGATGAGGGTAAACACAGACCCTATCACATACTAAATTCTATTCTATAGTACAAAATATATGTTCATGCATGCCAAGTTCTACACTGGAGGCAGAGACCTGAGCCTCTTAAACACTGACAATCATCCTGTAAACAAGTTGTTACCTTATAACAAGTTCCAGAGCTATCAACTGTAGCTATCCTACACTAAACATCATAAACTCTGGAAGTAAGATGTTGAACTACAACCATTCAATTAAAACTCTGCTACCAGACGACCATTTCAAGATAAAATGTAAAATGGACAAGGACGGAAGCTATTTTGCTGAGGGGAAATATCCAAAGGACAGGAAAAATTACATGAAATGATATTTCTCAAGATGTTGAACATCTAGTAACAAAAGATAGCAAAATACTGAGATATGAGTAACATATGTGGTATATCCTTTGACTGTTCTAGCTTACTACCTGGAAAGTTTCCAAGTGGTACTTAGTGCAGAGAGGTCTAACACAAGTGAAGCTCACAGATTTTCTGAAGTGATGACTTAGGAGACAAGAGTCTAAGAGAAGAAGAGAATTAACAGAGTACTAAAGCAAAGGGAATTTCAGAAAAACCTCTCCAAATATGTAAGAAGTTTCAAGGATACAGCTAGGGTGCATAGTACATATTAATGAGGACACAATGCTGAGACAGGAAAAGAACCAATGGTTGTAGAAAACAATCCATGAAACTCACATTGGGAAAGTTCCTGTTGTCTTCAGCTAGAATAGAAACATCACACACATAGAATCAAAATAACCAAAAGGATTTTGCTTTAGTAGTAGATCAAAAGTAATCCTGATTTAATGATGTGAAAGTCCACTCTAGCAAATTTTAAAGGAAGACATCAGGTCAAAGAGTTCTCTACTTGAATTTTTGGAGTCTTTAATGTATACTACATATCATCTGCAAGTAATAATGTTTTGACTTCTTCCTTTCTGACTTTTATCCCCTTGATCTCCTTTAGCTGTCTTATTACTCTATAGTTAGGACTACAAGTACTTTGTTGAAGAGATAGAGAGACAGTGGGCAGTGTTGCCTTGTCCCTGAGTTCACTGAGATTGATTGCAAAAAAATAGAAGACTGAGAAATAAATCCACATACCTACAGATACTAGATTTTTTACAAAAAAGACAAGACCATACAATGGAAAAAAGACAGCATCTTCAACAAATGGTGCTGGTCTCACTGGATGACTACATGTAGAAAATTGCAAATAGATCCATACTTATCACCCTGCACAAAGCTAAAGTCCGACTAGATCAAAGACGTCAACATAAAACCAGAAACAATAAACCTCTTAGAAGAAAACCTGGGTAAGAGCCGAGAACTCAGTGGCACAGAAGACAACTTCCTGATTAGAACACCAACAACACAGGCTCTAAGATCAACATTCAATAAATGGTCCCATTTGCTTCTGAAAAGCAAAGAACACTGTCGTCAAAACAAATGACAGCCTACAAATTGGGAAAGGCTATTCACCAACCCAGTATCTGGAAGAAAGCTATTATCCAGAAGATATGAAGAACTCAAGGAATTAAAGAGCAAAAAAAAAAAAAAGTGATCCAATTAAAAATGGGGTACGGAGCTAAATAGAGAATTCTCAATAGGGAAATATCGAACGGCAAAGAAACACTTAAAGAAATGCTCAATAAACTTAGTCAGTAGAGAAATGCAAATCAAAAGGACCCTGACATTTCAACTTACACCCATCAGAATGGCTAAGATAAAAAACTCAAGTGACAATACATGTTGGAGAGGATGTGGAGAAAGGGGAACCCTCCTCCATTGCTGGTGAGAGTGCAAACTTGTACAACCGCTTTGAAAACCAAACAAGCGCTTTCTCAAACAATTAGTAATAGCGCTTCCTCAAGATCTAGCTTTACCACTCTTAGGCATATAATGAAAACATGCTGAACTATACAAGGGCATCTGCTCAACCATGTTTGCAGCAGCTTTATTTGTAATAGCCAGATGGTGGAAACAACCCAGATGTCCCTCAACTGAGGAATGGATACAGAAATTGTAGTTCATTTACACAATGGAATACTACTCAGCAATTAAAAACAAGGAAATCATGAAATTTGCAGGCAAATGGTGGGATCTAGAAAAGATTATCCTGAGTGAGGTATCCCAGAAGCAGAAAGACACACACGGTATATACTCACTTATAAGTGGATATTAGACATGTAATGGATAAACACACTAAAATATGTATACCTAAAGAAGGTAAGCAAGGAGGAAGACCCTGGGTAAAATGATCAATCCTCACTCAGAAAGGCACATGGGAGGGACATTGGAAGTACAGCCTACCATAGAGAGCCATTGAAAGACTCTACCCAGCAGGGTATCAAGGCAGATGCAGACTCATAATCAAACTTTAGGCAGAGTGCAGGGAATCTTATGAAAGAAGGGGGAAATTGCAATACCTGGAGACAAGAATTCCACAAAAAAAGCCACAGATCCAAAAAATCTGGATACAGGGTTCTCTTCCAAGGCTGATACTCCAACCAAGGACCATGCATGGAGATAATTTAGAACTCTTAAAACCCCCGCACAGATGTAGCCAATGGCAGCTCAGTCTCCAAGTGAGTTCCCAAGTAATGGGAACAGGAAACTGTCTCTGACATGAAATAAGTTGCTGGCTCTTTGATCATCTTCTCCTGATGGGAGAGCAGCCTTACCAGGCCACATACAAATACAATGCAGCCAGTCTTGATGAGACCTGATTGACAAGGATCAGAAGGAAGGGGAGGAAGATCTCCCCTATCAGTGGACTGGGAGAGGGGCATGGGTAGAGAAGGGGGAGGGAGGGTGAAATTGGGAGGGGATGAGAGAGGGGGCTACAACTGGGATACAAAGTGA